GCATTCTTCCTTGACTGTAGTGGTTTCGAGATTCTGTACCAGAGGAATGTTTGTCGGCGAACAGTTGCTCGCTGTCGGCTGAAGAATAAGCCTATTGCAGGCTGCAGATTCAGCACGATTATCCTCAGCATGAGGCCTGACAAGGTTCAAAGTCCACGAACGTCATCAGAGTGAAAGAGAGATTCCACGGAGTCAGCACCCAAAATTCGTGAAAGTTGTCCTGAATGTAGAAAGTAGCTTTCTTGAACAAAGGATAGCTTTGCTGTGTTTTAATAATTCTGTGCAGCTTATTTCAGATAGCTATGGCGTTTACTGAAAAAAATAACAGTATCTTACTGTGCGTGCCATAGGAAGAAATAAAAAGATATGTCGATGACTGGCACGCCGGGAGTGGCCGAGCTGCCTTATATTACGGAGGGAATTAAAAGTACGGCCGTTTAAAAAGTTTGAATAGTAAAAATAGTCCCCTCTGTAATCTGCGAAGCCACAAGGGATCGAAATTAATACGCTCACATTATTGGTAAGGTAAGTTATGGTGTGCTGAAGAGAAAACTCTTTTAGTGAAGAGGTGCTGGACCAAGTCTATCTTCTTTCGTTCACTAGCGCGCAGAAAGCTAAATAGGGGCGAGCAGTATTCAAGACTAGGTCTCACATACATATTATAAAGGGTAATTTTAACCTTGATGGCCTTAACATTTCTGAGAATAAATCTGGTAGTTTGGAGTGCTTTCGAGACAGTGCTCTGAAAGATTGGGACTATTAGAATAGGATATGCTCAGATCCTTAAGATTGCATTTTTTTAGTCGAAGGCTATCGCTTTCAGCAAAACAGACCAAATAAAGTTAGCGTTTGTTCAAAATTAGGTGATCTGTACGTCAATCTTGTGGAAAAGATATTAGCTGTGCTTTCTTTGTAGATGAGGACGACTGTACGAGGTTCCACATGGCCTGTCGGTCTAGTTGGTGGTCTGACCCGGGAAGGCTGCGTCACAGACAAGAAGGATCCCTCAACGATCATCGGCTTTGAAGCCTCGTATAAACCCAATCGCGCCTTTCCTATCGACATGGCTGCCTTTGCAGTAAACCTGGAACTGTTTCATCGCTATTCCGCAGCTGCCTTCGACTACACCTATGTTGGTATGCAGGAGGGTCGCATACTCTCACAGCTGGGATTTAAAAATGCCTTCGAACTAGAACCAAAAGCAAGTGGATGCACCGAGGTTAGATAAGTATTATTGTAATATATTAATTACTATAAAGATAATGATCTTATCACACTATTAATGTTAGTAATATTATTAATAGAATTCTATTAATATCAATGTTAGCTTGAAAGTACCTCATATTACCCAATTATATTTTGTGAGGGAGGCTGACATCAGTAGGATCCGGCGCTAAGCCACCTAACTGCTTTGAATTTAATGATTGCTAGTTTACGGGAAAAAGTTGTTCTTCCCATAGTATGATGATTAGACTACAATAATTCCCCGCTTTATGTAACAACCATAGCCAGTCTCACTTAAGTGCGGTTCACGCTAGTTTGGAGAGCAGCTAAAATGGTACGCGAAGATGGAAGCTTTGCGCTACATTAGTCAGAACACCGACATGACGCGTTCATGAGCCAGCAAAAACAAGTAAAGGATATGAATGGAGACCTTGAAATAACGAGACATCTCGGGCATTTTCAAGACTGGCGTTCATAGTTTTCTGATACAAGCGAAACAAGTGAGTAACAGGAAGCAGTTCAGATGAAGAGGACGCAATCGCTGGAATTAGAAGCTTGTCAGACTAAAATTTCGTTTCCTCGCTCGAACCTGTCGTCATAGACGGTAGTTCTTTATCCGATACGGTCTTCGATGATGATTTCTAGAATGAGTCCAAAAAGTCAGACCAATAAACGTCTTGATCCAGCGATCGCATCAGCTCCTTCTGTTAGAAGTTTCAATGACGCCTTCCTGGAGGCCTTCTGTGCTGGGATTTTGACACCTCGTTTGACATGCTCGTTTGTTTGTGTACAAGGGGAACGGCGCACGGGCAACATACGTGGATTTAAATTCAGAGTGCTAAAATGGTCGGCTTGACATTTTTCTGCCGATGGAAGATATCGAGCCTGAGGGGGATGGTGAACTGACTCCTCTAACAGAGCAAGGCTCCTAACTTACAACAGGCCGATTATCGCAGCTACTGAGAAGAAGAGGATAATTTGATCGCTGGGATATTACTTTTATTCGCCTGACGTTTCAATGACGAGTCCGCGACGGATCTCGAAACGTCCGGCGAAAAAAATTAATGTCCCAGCGATCGAATTATCCTCTTCTTCTCAGTTACTTCCTGAGACTCGTATGTTAGCTGTGATCGTTGCTACTGTCCAACAGCTGGTTCCCGATATACGGGAGACTGTAAGGACACGCGTGATCAATGACTGATCTGGTAGAAATCTAGCCTAACCGAATGCCAGCAGAGGCTTGCAGGCTGCCTTGATGCGTCTTGTCTGCGGCTGACTGCAAACAATGATCCCCTTGTCAACAGCGGTCATATGCCTTCGCGGTGACTGTGCCCACGCGATGGCCTTAAACCTCTGGACTGAAGGCACGCGCACGCGAAATCACGCGCGCGCCCAACTGGCCGCAGTTTTTCAAAGGCCACTTAGGTGCCTCATAGGGCAGGTGAACTTATCCCAGTGCGCCCATTCATGCCACAAGCGAACGCGCTTGACAATCTCTTATAAGCCACTGTCACATCTCAGACAGTGAATTGCGCACGGACTGCAAGGACAACGCCGGTCCGTTCTAGTGCCGGGCTTCGCCCCGAAGCGGGGACATTCAGCGCGCTAGACATCAACCAGCGGCAACTGCCGCCCAAGAAAGCAACTTCAGTTGGCTTCCACTTTTACGCCCTTCTTGTTGTGTTACTCCGGGGGGA